CATAAAAAAAAAAAAAAAAAAAAAAAAAAAAAAAAAAAAAGGGAAGCTACACCTCGTTCTATCTTGTTTAAGCAAAACAGTCCCCACTATAAATAGGGCCACAATGTTGCGTCAAAAATATTTGAACATAAATGTAGGGTCTCTTCCAATCACTGCTCTGTTGTCTGTAGGGCAAATACCCTGCCCGTCCCAATTGGAGTCATGATCCCGTTTTTTGTATGTATCCATGTGATGCCATTTTTTTTTCAAATATAACTAAATGGCGATACGTAAAATTTTCGAGCGCAGCTTCACACGCGTTAGAAATGTCGCGTCTTATACTTCTGCCCCCGAAGGAGAATCATTTTGTATGAATTTCTCCTCAATTTTTCAAATGAATGGAAAATAAGTAAATGCGCTTGCTCAAACATGCCTTCAATGAGTCCATATTTGGTGATGAAAGCAATCACATGACATCAAAGGGAAAGATGGTACACACTACACATTTGCGGCTAACTCGATTGCGTCTTTAGTACAATTTTTAAAAAGAGGACAAAGGAACATTAAATATGCACATGTGTTATTCACAGTGTTGTAATTTTTCTTTTTTAACCCATCTTTTACCGTATGTTTATATGCACCTACGGGCACGGGGAGTACATCATTTAGTTGGTTCCAAAAGGAAGTGTTTCCTCTTTTTTTTTTTTTTGTCTTTATTCACATCTATAGTGTCATTCTACACGGAGGTAAAAACACTATCTGCGCACCGCTGATGTGTACGTATGGGTATATCTGTATGTTTCATCATTCACCTTATCCATATGCAAGTCATTCGTACTGACGCGTACATACGTTTATGCGCACGCTTGTCTACCTGAATGTGCAGGTGACTATAATTATCCACGACGCAGTAATACATTATACTCACATCATAGTTGTTAATCCTAAACACCACTTTTTAAAAGGGTCAATGTGTATGCGAAATGGCCACATGGGCCAGACGCAAACACCCGAGCGCGCGAATAGGCTAATTTTTTCTGTCACAAAAAAATAAAAAAATTAAATAAAAAAAAATTAAATAAACAAAAATTAAATAAAAAAAAAATTAAATAAGAAGGAAAATTAATCAAAACGCTGCTCGAATGGACCACTGCCAAAGTAACGCAAAGGCGATCTGATCAAAATGCAACCACCCCGCGATTAAAATGAAACTCGAGTTTCTTTGCGTCCTCTTCAAAATAATTGCCCTCGAAAACATGTTCCACATGGCTCAAGACATGGTAACTGTATGTACCAAGTGCAGCGAAAGGGGGAATACTTTATCCAACCGAAGCGACCTCTTGGTGCAGACAACTAGGTACGATAATTTGCATTATTGGGGATCCTCAAGCGTTCTGTTCGGAAAAAAAAATGACCAGTCGCTTTTACAATTGCGCATACGAAATCGAATACTAAGAAATGATGAGGACGAAGAGGAAAGTGGGGGAGATGATGGGGACGATGAGAAGGGGGAGGAGGAAAGCGGACAGGAAAACGACAACGAAGATGATGATTCGTCCACGGATTCAAATTCTTCCGGATCGAACGACGCCCAGAATGGTTATTCTCAAAACAACAAGGGAACCAATAAAAAAAAAAAAAATTCAAACCATCATTATTTACGAGACCTAAATGTGCACAACCGCAATGGTAATAACAACGGATCGGACCAAAACCCAGAAGACAGTGGTAAAGGGCACAAGCATCACAGAGCGAAGAAGCATAAGCATGATAAACAAAATGCGCAAGGTGGAATGTCTAACGGTGCCAGCAGCGCCAATGTGAACAACAACGTGAATCCGAATACCAACATTAATGCGAATAACAACGTGAATGCGAATAACAACGTGAATGCGAATAACAACGTGAATGCGAATACCAACGTGAATGCGAATACCAACGTGAATCCGAATACCAACGTGAATCCGAATACCAACGTGAATGGGGGAACTAACATGAACGTGAATAATGTGGGCGGAAATAACGTGAATGGGGGGAATAACGTAAATGGGGGAAACAACACGAACGTGAATGATATGGGAGGAAATAACGTAAATGGGGAAAACAACATGAACGGGAATAATATGGGAGCCAATAACATGAACGGGGTTAACAACCCTAATGGAAACATCCCCAATGGCAGCAGCAACTTGAGTACAACGGCGGCTGCCGCACTTGCAGCCGCCTCCGCCCCCGTAGCTGCGGGTAATGGCAATGGGAATGCTAATAGCACAAATGCACAGATGATGGGGACGATGAGAAGGGGGAGGAGGAAAGCGGACAGGAAAACGACAACGAAGATGATGATTCGTCCACGGATTCAAATTCTTCCGGATCGAACGACGCCCAGAATGGTTATTCTCAAAACAACAAGGGAACCAAAAAAAAAAAAAATTCAAACCATCATTATTTACGAGACCTAAATGTGCACAACCGCAATGGTAATAACAACGGATCGGACCAAAACCCAGAAGACAGTGGTAAAGGGCACAAGCATCACAGAGCGAAGAAGCATAAGCATGATAAACAAAATGCGCAAGGTGGAATGTCTAACGGTGCCAGCAGCGCCAATGTGAACAACAACGTGAATCCGAATACCAACATTAATGCGAATAACAACGTGAATGCGAATAACAACGTGAATGCGAATAACAACGTGAATGCGAATACCAACGTGAATGCGAATACCAACGTGAATCCGAATACCAACGTGAATCCGAATACCAACGTGAATGGGGGAACTAACATGAACGTGAATAATGTGGGCGGAAATAACGTGAATGGGGGGAATAACGTAAATGGGGGAAACAACACGAACGTGAATGATATGGGAGGAAATAACGTAAATGGGGAAAACAACATGAACGGGAATAATATGGGAGCCAATAACATGAACGGGGTTAACAACCCTAATGGAAACATCCCCAATGGCAGCAGCAACTTGAGTACAACGGCGGCTGCCGCACTTGCAGCCGCCTCCGCCCCCGTAGCTGCGGGTAATGGCAATGGGAATGCTAATAGCACAAATGCACCCAATACAAACACAAACGAGTATAACGGAGTCGCATCGGAAATGGCCACGTCTATCCCCCCCGAAGATGTAAACGCTGTACAGGCCTTTTCAAAACTAATGGAAAATAACGATAAATCTAACACCAACGAAATTATATGCAGTTCGATCAACTGTGTTCCCCCAACGAACGACGCCAACGGGAAGGTACCACTGACCGGTATGTCTCAACCCCGTCCCCCATGCGTCCCTGCATGTGTATATGCAGACATGCAGCCCATTCCTGAATACTCTTCACGCTTATTAACACATCAAATTGAGCATGATGCACACACCGTTTTTCCCCCTTTGTACAGACTGCACAAATGTAACGTATTGTGGCGGATGTCCCATTTTGCAAACGTCAAGAGACCAGTGTAACAGCATGAAAAGTTTCAACCCAGAAAATATTCTTGTATCATCGGGTTTCGTCGACTCTGCAAATGTTAACAAAAAAAAAAAAAAACAAAAAGTAGATTGTTGTGATCGAGCGAGGGAAGCAGCTAGCTCTTTTTTATGACAGCTGATGACAACTTTGCTACATTTGTCATGTTTTTTTTTTTTTTCCAAATATTATTGCTTGTTCATATATATTTTTTTTTTTTTTTTTTTTTTATAGCTGACTAGCCAAAATAGCCCTGTAGGTATGCAGTTTTTGTGGGACAAGGCATTGTTCGACTTCTCCAAGTGTGTCCCTGATGTGAATAAATTCGTGCAAGCATCCAAGGGATTGCCCAATGCAGGTATTTTTGCTCAACGGGAAGGAAGATCTGGCGTGGCGCTAAAAGACACGATTCCTTTTAGCTGTACCAGCTGAGTGCGCACACACACACACGTATATATATATTTATATATACATGTGTGCAATTCTTTTCCCCCCCCCTTGGGTAGATAAAATTGAGGCGCACAAGCACCTATTCAGGCTGGCCAACTTGTATATATACGGAACGAAGATCGCAGAGGATAACAACCCGAACGGGTTGAACGTATCCGTTAGGATAAACAACGTCAACTCTGATTTTTTAAAACCAAATGAGCAATTGCCGAATGGGAACAATTCCCTTCCCACGTGCCCTTTGAATGTAGCTAATTTCAAAACACTTGGCATTCACCAGACGCAGTCCTTCGCCTTTTACCAGTAATACCCACTTATAACCGCAGCGATGAGTTTGCGGGGCATGTAGAAATGGGTGTTGCAGCGCCGCACGGCGCTAGCACGCTCTTAATTAGGCGCAATTTATATGCCATTTCACCGCAAACGCGATATCTTTCCACCGCAAATCCGATATCATTCCATCGCAAATCTAATATCATTCCACCGCTTATTCCCCCCAGGCGCCTATTTGTCCCAGAAAGCAATAACCTGCTGGATAGCCGAAACTTGAGTGTCGATATAACCAACGAACAAGGGAATCACGTGGGGAACTACTTTTTTTATGCCAAAATTGAATGCCCCCGGATGGACCCAACTATAGAAAACTGGCTAAAGCTTCATGAGGCGCAACAAACAAATGTGTTACTGAACCTGCACAACAACAATAAAGTAACGGACAATCCCCCACACGGCGCACAAAACGGCAACGGCACACAGGCGAACACCCCTGGGAATGTGCAACTTACCAAGAGTGGTAATTCGCAAGGCGATTCTAAGCAGAGGGGAGGTTCGCATAAGAGCGCCCCGAGCCTGCTTCTCCTTTTGCTACCAATAATTATGTACTTAGTTCTGGTGCATTAGTTTTTTCGCGCATGCGGCTATACAGCTCTTGAAAGTGACCGCTCCGCCAATCATCTTTAACTAGGCTGATGCACACCCCCTTTTCCCCATGTCTTTTTTTAATTATAATCATTTCACCCTTCCAATATGCCGCACCACCATTTGTTCACCCCCTCTTTAGTATTTTAAAAACAATTTAACTCATTCTACAGCGAAAAAGTTGCGCACACAGTTTATATGCACACATGGATGTCTCATGCAGTGCGCGGTGCGGCTCCGCATGGGAACGATGAGTAGGTGGACGGACGCTTCGCCCTATCATGCAACTAACCCCTTACCAATTAGCAAAGAAATTTGAGACGTGTAAATTTCAATTAGTCCATTTAGCTTCTCAATATCGTTATGGAAATCTTTCATCATAGAATTATGGTCGTGGAAAATGGAGTGGCTGCGTCTGTCCGCATATTTTTCTATTCTCTCGTTAATGCGCTTATGTCTTTGTTGCAGTTTCTCCAGCTCTTCCAAGCTTAAGAGGCTGGCGTGATTTCCAAACGGGATAGCTTTATCTCTTGCAGCGGTTGTAGTGGTTGCTTTGCGAATGTACTCATTAACCTGTCTAACCGCGACCACGATGCCCTCCTGCAATCTCAGGAAGTCCTCTATGGCAGCCTTCGCGTCATTAACTAGCAAAACGTTTTTCTCCATGCTTTTCTCATCCAAGGTGGGATACACCATTTTGCGGATTGCGTCTTCCAAGTCAGTCATTCCATCAGTTATTTCGTCCAATTTTAACATGTACTCATTGGGGAGCACAATCTTTGAGTTTTTCAAAAGGTTAAAAAGGTGAAATAAATCTGGGTTGCATTTTTCCACTTCCTCCTGCAAAGTTTGGAAAATGTGTTCCGTAATTTTGTACAATTTTTGTATTATCTTGATATGCTTCACATTTTCTTGTATTTCTTTTTTTTTTTTTAAAAACTCATTTTTTTCATTCTTCAACACCTTTGTATAATCTTTTACATCGTGGCACATTTCGCTGTATGTCTTCCCCTTATTATTTGCGCCCAACAAATAAGGCACTATCACATCTGAGCAGGTATATATATAGTTTTTATCCTCCATTTTGTGAAGCCTTCTATTGCAAAAGTGCTTTTCGCTCTGTTCAACACAATGGGTAAGAGGCTTATCTCCAAAGACGCTTCTTCTAACAGTGGAGCAGTTGTTAAACAGATTAACCATACCGATGCAGTCGTCCCTTTGGTCTTCCTCAAAATGAAATGTTTCAATTATGTTATTTTTATAATAATTTACATATGCTGATTTGTGCTGCTCATTTTCCTGCACACTTTTTTTTTTCCTTTCGAACGAACTCTCACAGAATAGTTCTCCATCTGAAATGATATTTTTTTCAATGTCTAGGGAAGCACAGTGGGCTAGGGGGTCTCCATATCCCCCTTCAGTGCATTTCCTCAACAGGGACATGAACATATCCTTCGTTCTGGTGCACGTATCTCCCTCTCCTTCTGTTAGGAAATGTTCCTGAGGGTGCTCCGCATTTGTATTATTCTCTTCAGTGGTATCTTCCCTGTTGTGTCTGTCACCTTTTTTATCTTCATGCTCTTCGTCCCTCTCCTCCTCAGGAGGCGCAACCCTGGTGTACCTTAGCTTGCACAAGGCCTTTTGTATCTTCCCATAGCAGTTGTAATTACTCAAGTTGTGCTTTTCCAAAACCGCATTTCCTATATACCGATAGGCCGCACACTTATGCTCATACTTATATTTCTTCAACTCATCTTCGTAGAATGTTATGGCGTCAATGACTTCCATGCAGGTTGATAGGAAGCTGTCTGGCGGGGGTGCTTCTCCTGAGGAATCCGCCAAACCCATCCCTAAACCGCTTAACAAACAGAAGAATAGAAAAAGACACACATAATAGGTGAGCACGGTTTTCAGCTTCATTTTGGGGAGTCCACCTAATGGGCGAACAGCAGAAGAGCCACAACACATAACCGCGCAATGGCGCCGTTCCATCTTTTCCTGTATGCTCATTTTTTCCGCGTGCATATTGAATCTATCAAATGAACACATATATTTTTTTTTTTTACAAACAAATTTTATATTTGCAATAGGACAAACCTATGGCACTTGTCCAGTGAGCTAATACTTAGAGACAAATTTTTACGCACATTAGCGCGCACACAAAAATGAAAAACAGTTTTAATTGTAGCAAGGCCAGTTATGAACAAGGAAAAACTGTCGGAGAGAAAAACGAACAAGTGCATTTTTAGTTCATCTACGCTGCAGCGGTGTTCACAAAAATGGGAGTTTTGCCAATTGGGGCACGTCCAGATATACGTGCGTTTGTCCTCCCCCGCTGCCGCTACTCATCTGTACAACTCTCTGGTGTAGGTACAAAAAAAAAAAAAAAAGGCTAAAAAAAGGAACAAATTTGGAGGAAAAAGACGCGCTCAGAAGGGCAACAATGCTTGGAGGAGGCTTGTCCAACATGGCTGCCAAACTGATCATCACAAAGATCGAAATAGTGCAAACGCCGAAATATTATTAAAAATGGAAAGAGTTATTAACAACGTTATTCAAAAGACATAGTGGAGGGAACAATGCCTCCTATCAACGCACCGTTGGTGTGCTCTGCCTTAAAAATTATCAAAACAAAGGCACACCAATTCGGGAAAAAAAGAAAAAAAAAAATGCACAAACTGCGGCACTGTATGAAATCCTTCACTACATTTTAAAATAAAATGGAAAAGGATTTATAAAAAAAAAAAAATTGAAACGCTTACACAAAAAAAAAAAATGTCAAATGGAGGAAAACTTAAAAAAAAAAAAGAAAAAAAAAAATTCCAAATAGGCGCTTTTACGCACATGATGTGTGTCTGTACGAACCCTAACGTGGCCCTAATTCCTGTAGTATTCTATGTAGTAAAAGGGAACTGCATAGGACAGGTTGAACAGCACCACTTCGTCATTGGAGAAAGACATCGAGTCGTAATTGTTGTAGTAGTGTTGCATATCGCTTTGCTTCGAGTTTATAAAGCTGCTGAAGGGAGCCTTGTCGTAGTGGAACGATTTCCCCTTGTGCAGGGCCACGATGATAAGACGGTAGCTGCGACTAGAAGGGGAAGTACCCGCAGCAGCTGCAGCGTTGGTGGAGTGTGCCGCGGAACCTTGCGCAATACACGCCTCCTCCGTTTCCTCCCCAACCAGGGAATCATAAAAGTTGGAGGCGTCCCGTATGTACTTGAAAAAAACGGCGAAATTTCTCACATTGGGGGCGGACTTTTCAAATGCTTTTTTGTTGCACTCGAATCCATGCGAGTCACTAAAAATTTTGTCCATCAGGTTAAACCTCGAAATGAAAAAATACAAATTTCTCTGGTCAATCTCGTAATTCCTCTTCTTCATAAAAGGAATGACATTTTTTATGTTAACCTGTTTGTCTAGCAGGGAGAGAAAAGACTCCACCACATATTTCGTGCAGGTCTTCAAAATCCTCTTCTCATTTAGGCAAAAAGTGCTTTTGTGCAAATTGTTCTGTTCAATAAAAAGCCGATTAATCAAATTCGTCTCGTAATTGTTCTGTATGTACAGGCACAAAGTAGAATTCTCATATATTTTGTAACTGCCTTGGAATTTACTCTTTATGTACTTGTAAAAAGTGTAACAATCAAAGGAGTAGAACAGTAAGTTGTTGTAGGCCACACTGTAGATGTCGTTGTAGTCCCTCTCCAGAAAGAGAGACACCTTGTGGGTTTGTCTCTTCTGCTCCGTATTGTATATATTAAACATAATAAAATTGTGTGTCTTCACACTATGCTCGTAAAAAACGGAAGTGAAAAACTTGCTGAACAGGTACAGCCTATTCGATTTACTCATAGCTGAGTCCTTCACATCTTCATAGTTGAGGTTCTTCAGGACGGGGATCAGGCTCGCATCTTGCTCGGGGTTACTCAAGGGGGAGCAGCGCCGCGCTGGATCCTTATCAAGGCAATTTGACTGGGTGTTATTTTCACCACCGCGTTTTCCATTATTCTCTCTATTATTACACTGACCCTCATGCTGACCATTTGGCTGCTCCTTACTTTTACTATTGCGTTGGCCGCTATCCTCACTTTGAGCATCTCCTCCCTCCTCCGGGGGATCACTTTTCTTCTTCTGCTTGCTCAGTTTACATTTTACATCTTTCAAATCATTCTGTATGTTTATCATGACGTCCATAATTTTATTTAAAACTTTGCTGTTCTTTTCCTTCCCCTGATTATCTCTATTTTCTTTGAATAGTTCGTAAAGCAATTCGTTATAATGTGCATTTCTTCCACTGCTGGTATTTATATTGTGATCAGCATGGAAGTGTCCCCGTGACATGCCTCCCCTATCCACGGTGTCCCCTTCTGAGTGTCTAAATATATGACCATCACCGTTGCTACCCATATCTCTAAGCACCTTGTAATGCTCATAATTTGTGTTGGCCTTTCTAAAGGGCAGTTCAATTTTCCCTTCTCTGTAGGTCCATGCCTTATTTTCCTTTGTGTGGTTGTCACCCATTTGGGGGACCAATCCATTTGTGTTATCTTCTCTTTTCATTTCGTAATGAAGCGGTACTGACCCCGCGTCGTTTCCACTTCTCATGCTGCCGTAGTGACATGAGGGTGCTGGTGCTACTCTGTCCATGTGAACATCCACATCCTTTGACTCTCCAACACGTGGAAACTTTATTACATTTTCGCCTTGTCTGTGCAACTCCTCCTGGGCATACTTGCTACACCGTTGCGCACCTCCATCGAGGTAGTAGTCGTACGGAAGTGTAGTGTTGTTTCTTCCATCCACCCGTAAGCACTGTCCATACTCGTGAGGAGTGCCCATATGCTTCCCCTCATACATTTCTCCCTTCATGTCATATTTTAAATGTGCCCCCTTATAGTTATAAATGGCCTCTTTGTTTTCCTCCAGATGTGCATATCCAAGCGGCTGCATACTGTTTCCCTTCCACTTGTCTCCCCCTGCGTAGGCCACGTATGATGTGTGTGCCTTTACATACGCCCCCTTTTGCATAACTACTGCCTCAAAATCTGGTCCATAGGGGGCGCCACTGGAAGCATAATTATGATCCACAATCTTTACGCTCGTTTTCGATTTTTCTACTTTGTTAAACGGGCCACCCATGACACTGTGCGCGGCGAAGTTTTCGTACGGGGTGGGGTAGCTGCCGTAGTGCTTCTCTTCGTAGTGCTTCTCTTCATAGTGCTTCTCCCCGTGATGCTCTCTACAAAGCCCGCCATAATGGTAGTCGGCGCCGCGACTCCAGCTGGGGCCATACCTCTCGTTGCCACGATCCCCACTGACCCCCTCTCTTTGGGGCCACTTCTCCTCGTACCCTTCACATCCCCCCAAAGCGCTATACTTCTCACAGACATTCTCTTCAATCAGGCGGTTCACGAATTCCTCTTCCCTCACAAGACTACCCAAATTACCAGAATGGACCTTATCATGTGGCAGCAATTCCATAAAGGGATAAATCGGTTGATGTGTCTCATGTTCATAACGCTGCGTTCCGTTTTTACTGTACTTGTGTTGGATCATGGATGTTTCAAATTGTTCATTCTTTTTTAACTGGTAGGGGTTCGTTGAAATCATTTCTACATTATCCCTTCGACGCGATGTCTCCCCTTTCCTGGTTTGCTCATGAGGATAATTTGCATCTCTGCTTTGGCATCTACCATAAGGGTAATCCTGTGTTGGCCTTTCTTGAGAAAAATCTTCACCCGCATGATCATATGTGTTCCTGTCCTTCGTCCTTTCAAGTTTGGTTGAATCAGTTCGCTTGTGCAAACGGTCTGGTGTCATTATTGTCTCGTTAATCCTTTTCACAACGATGTCTTTTGTGTTTCTTCGGTGACCTCCTTCCGTGTGTATGTCACTTGGATGAGTACCCCTTCCGTTTCCACACATACGTGTGTTCATCTTTGCTTCGTCCTCCCTTGGGTGGTTCATTCCGTACGGTTGAATTGTGTTTAACGAGTCGATCCTCTCAAACGAATTTTTGTCCCCTAATGGGTTCCTCTCTGATTGAAAACCGTCACCATGTACGTCTTTGTCTCCCCTATGATGCATACCTCTCCCTCCGCGAGCCTCAGTCTTGTTTTGTTCCACGTTAACTGCACCGACATATGCATCTTCAATTAATGCACCACTCTTCGAATATTCCCCGTTACTTCTAACTTCATTGTAGTGATTAGAATAAAACTCGTTTTCCCGTTTCCCTTTACTACAATATTTTCCATAGGGATAATCACCCATGTTACCCTTGTGTGATGTATAGTTGTTCTCCTTAGATTTGGGTAAAAACTTTTCGCGTTCATCACCAACATGTTCATAGCAGTATCCACCTTCTTTCACATAATCCGATTGACCACTCTTGCATCTGTAGGGGTCTCCATAAGGGTCATTTGAATTTTTACTGTACTGTGTATTCCTTGTAAAGGTTTCTTCGTGATTGTTTCCTTCCATGTAGTCGGTCTCCTTCCGCCCTGGGCCCTGGACCAATTGGTAATCCACACTCGGTTGCTTATTAAAATGTATGGGGTCCAAATGATCATCACGATTTCTACCACTACACGGATGCGTATGTCCTGAGACATTCTCCTTAGAGACAACCTTTTCACTGTCCATCCGCTGATGTTCCTGGTGAATCTCGGTATTAGTATGCACATCATTGGGCATCCTTCTGGGGGGGGATCCATTTCTGCTGCCTTTCTTGTCTGCTCCACCGTTACCGATTTTTTCCTCACCGTGTGCGAATGGCGAGTTATGTCCTTCATCGTAGCAGTTAGGACGCACCTTTCTTTTTTCTTCACTTGGGGGGATTGATACCTTTCTAGTGATTCTCTTCTCTTCATTTGCACCTCCTACATATGTAGAGTCATACTCCGTTGCCACGTTTCTACTGCCTCTCCGCTGAGGCTCACATATTTTGTAATCCTCTTGGGGTACATACTGGTATGGTTTCCTTGTTTGTCCTTTCTGCTCATTTATTTCACACTTTTCGAACGAGTAACTGGTGCTGCATGTTTCTAGTATATCATTCGCAGCTTCACTTTCCGATTTTGCCTTCGCTCTCCCTTTCTCACTCGCTTCCACACCATTTCGAGGCTGCACCTGGTCGATGCTCCGTTGGTTTGTCCCTTCCCTACGCGAGGTGGTATTCGGATCAATGGGCCCCTTCTGCTGTACGTTTTCTTTAACGAAGATTGCACCTACGCTGCTCCGTCGATGATCTTCATGAGTGTTTTCCTTACGTGTGACATTATCGGGGAACCCCCCTGCGGTTTTTATCTCTCCAGTAGGCCCACTAAACAACGAACTGCTACTACTTCTTTGCAATCTCTTCCATGATGGAGTCTTCTTTGTTAGACTTCCTTGTCTGGCAGGTACCCCTTCCTTGCTGACCTGTCTTTGTGCTTTTCCCTGGCGCATTATGTCCTGTTCAAAATGTTTTTCATTTTCCCCACTTGGGTAGCGCGCGCTTTCATTCATGCTGGATTGCGCGATAAGGGGATTCACTTCCGATGGAGGCAACGTCCGCGAAACATTCCTCTTGGTGATCCTCTCAAAAGCGTTTCCATTCGATTGACATGTCGTTTTGCCTTCTTCAATTACTTCCCCTTCATCCCGAGAAACCTTACGCTTATTTTCGAAGTAGGAACTGTGCAACGGTTTAGGAATGCAGTCATACTCGGATGAGTTATGTATATTGTCAAAAAAAAAAATGGAGGAGTTGTTGTTCTCACCAAAGTGGAGTATATCTGGCAAGCTCGTCATCCCGCTGTGCTTAATTTCATCCTCCTTGGAGCATTGAGATGCGTAATTTATTCCTTCTATACTTTTATTGTTCACCATCGACGGTGCTTTCCCCTCCTCCAGAGTGCTCTTCTTATGAAGTGCACATAATTTACTTTCATTCAGTTGTACCTCTTTCCCAGTGCACGTCACCAGAGATGACAATTTTTCAGAATCACTCTCTCTGTTTATTTGTCTTAAAAAACGTGGGTTCTTCCCATTTTGACTTTGTTCCAGATTTCCATTTATGAGAGCTGCATCATAGGAGAGGTTGTTACGCATGTGATTGGTGTCTTCATTTGTGTGTGGGGTAAAACGGGCACCTTCTTCGGCGCAGGTAGATATTTCTTCATCTGGGTATGCATTACTAACGTTGTTAACTCCCCCATGACTTGCCCTTTTCGATATGCCCAAGTCATTTGGCACACCGATCGACTCTTCGCTGGAGCCCCTCCTCTCTTTTGTCTTGCTCCCATTCGCCTCGTCCAATATGTTCCATTCCATTTTGCCCCTGCTTCGCAAGCTGCCTCGCATGCTACTTCTGCTTGCACCGATGAACACGTTATGTCGACCCCCGGTACACTCACCATCAGTACAACCAACAGTACCGTCAGCCCCAGAACCGGCACCGCCGCTAGTCCATTTCACCTCCTGCACATCATACGCAGAACTGTCTACCGGCCCATTTGCATTGTCACACTGGATCCTCTCCACACTACTATCATTATACACGTTTGCGCTTTCCCCCTCGCAGTCACTGATACTTCTCTTGCGCCTCATCCCTCCGCTGGTGCCGCCGCGGTAAGAATGAGATGGGTCCCCATTGCTGGCCTTATCATCATGCAGAAACGCGGATGAGAAGGAATTGGCTTGGTTGATCTGGTCCCCATTCCTTTTTCCCTTCCCTGTGAGGGAAGAATAATTACTAATTGAAAAATTGTTGGCTTCACTTCTTATGTCGTATTCTCGTGATGGAAGTGCATCCTCATATCCCTTGCCCAATGTGGTGTTCATACCTGAGGGTTTACTCACCAAGTCTGAGTTTTTTGCAAATACGTTTTTGCTTAAAAATACGTTTGGTAAATTGTCCAACTCGTGTCTAGATAATTTATCCTCATGTACATACATGTCCTGATTTGAAAAACGATTTATATTGTCCGTTTTGTTGACAGATGATCGGGAGATGCTACCTTTCGCCATCTGATCATTCTCATTTGGTAGCAGGTCACTGGAAGGGGTTGCGAATTGGTCCAAGGTGACTGTCTTGGCTTTCCTCCACTCCATATTGTTATAACTCCGCTGCAATGTCAACGTATTTTTCAGCAACATATTTTTATCTAACTGGGAAGGCAATTCGCATAACTTCGTATCCTTTTCCATCGTCTCGTCCTTCCTTTTGCTATACTTGTCCTTCAACTGGTTGATTGAGTTGGTCCTCCGTTCAAAATCCTCCTTTGTGGTTTCCTTAAATGTAGAAGGTTCTCTCAATTCCGCACGTTGCTTAATCTCACAATGAGTAGCTTCAAGTTGGGATTGGCTACTTGGTGTAGGTCCAGATATTGAAGTTTGTTGCTGTTCCTTTTTCGCCTTTTCGGCGTCTGGGCGATTGTTATGCGTGGACCCAGTTTCACCGGTGGGCAGAACCACCTCGTTACAACTAAGTGAAATTTTAAAAAGGCTATCCGCCGCATCTGGGTCGGACGAAAAGGAGAACCTCTTTCTATAATCATCGGGGGGGATGTCCCCGTGAAGGGTAGCGATATGGGGACTGTCTTCCTCTCGGTAGACACTGTTAGACTTAATAAAAATACTATCATCCAAAATTACATCATCCAGGAATTTTCCCTCATCATTATTTTTTGTATATATGTCCATAATGCTGCTATTGAGGCTCTCCAATTTATTCAAACTAAGATCATTCAGCATCGAAATGGAGTTTATTTTTTTATAAATTTCGTTAATATTCTTCCTATCCATATCGTCTTCACTAATGGGCAGAGTACAATCCACCTCATCCTTCAGTGCGGCTTTACTAGATGAAGCAGCGTGTGTGAGTACTTGGCTCATCCCTTCCTCGGACCCTAATAGTCCTTCCACATCACTTCCACATTTTTTACTACCTTCTTCTAATTTCTTTTCCTTGTTGTAATTCTTAAAAATATTATTATCAAAATCGATATTTGACCCAACGTGCACGCTTTCCTTTCTCTTTTCTCTCCCTCCATCCCTCATGTGATCAATCGTCATTCCCTTCTCTGTTACGCTCATCTGTGAACGGGCCAGATCTACACGGTCGTTACTGCTGCTTATATTTAGGTAATTTTTGTTTACAAATACGCCACTGCTTTTTAAGGGAGCCGCTTCACCACTTTTTACCCAACTGGAATTACCATTCGAATTTTTCTTTTTAACATTTAAATTATGTAGTGCTTCATTCAGTTCATTATTTTTCGTGTGAAAAATTACATGACCAGGGACGGCATTTTTATCCACCTTAGTATGACTTAAACTGGGATCAAAATAATCTCCACTCCCTAAATAAGTCCTATGACTTTCATCTAAGGTGTTCTGCCGACTAGTACCCAAATTGCTTCTATTACTTTTGAGGCTGTTCTCGTAGTACGTTCCACTATTACTGCTAGTATTATCCATCGCTATGTACATGTCTGATTTTTTTGTTCCCTTCAATCCTTTATTCTCCATGCAGTTTGCTGCGGTGGAAAATACTCTATCATGAACCCTTGCACAGTGATCATTATTCAGGTTAATGGCTCGATTGATTCCATGTTCGCCATGATCATCACGCCGGTCAGATTCATCTTCTTCTGCCAGGTCCCTTCCTATCAAGTTGCTGGAATTCCCATTGAAGGTGAACGAGCTGATTGACGTATTGCTATCGCTCATAGTTGCCTCTTTCGGCTTTGACCCCTTGGCGAAATTGGACCGGCTGGATCCTCGCAACCCATTCGAAAAATTTGAAAAATTCGAAACTTGGCTGAGATCAAGCATATCGTTATTCTGGAGGGAAAACTTGTGCACGCTGTTCTTTTCGCTCAGGGAGTAAAAGCTAAATTCCTTCTTAAGGTCCTCCGTTGATATGAATGACAAATCGAATTGGTTCTTCCCCACAGGACCATTCGCATAGATGGCCATATCTGTATCGACCATATCGCCGTACCCGCTCTGGATCAGGTGCTTCGCATGACCTATTTTGTCCCTACTCCCTGTTCTGCTAAAATGAGGAATTCTCTCTAGACTGTCCAGGTTTCCTCCCATATTATAATTAGCATGGACTCTATAATTGACGTCTCTGTCCATTTCAACTGCTTCGTCACAATTCTTGTTTTTGATGTGACCATCGGTATGCACACTGGAGGGGTAGGGTTGGTTGGGCAAATAGCCTTCCCTTTGGTGGTAATAGCGCCCCGGTGTGAACACACTACCATGTGCCACTGCCACGCACCCATCACTTTCGTCATAATGCTGTTGAGGCTGCTTCAAATGTTTCATGTCTTTCAGGTGCTGGTCCTCCTTTTCTTCCTCCACCTCCTCCTCTTCGTCATCCGACCTTAACAAAAGACTTATATTTTTTTCTATTTTTCTTAACGAATTTGCCTTGGCTATACTCTTCAAAAGTTCCCTCTCATTGTTCTTCGTTCTTTGCGTTTTCCTCTCATCCCTCTGCCTGTGGGTTGGACCCCCATCCGCAGTCTCAGACCCACCCATGAAAGGGTATTTAGCTGCATCATTAGGCCCGTCCGTAGCCAGTTTGCAGTGATCTATTTCATGTGCTTTTCCCTGTTGCGTCTCTCCCCCTCCCTTATCCACATCGTGCTCCTGGTCATATTTTATTATCGTTTTTAATTTGGATAGGCTATCGGTTATGTTATTGTACAAGTTAATGCTTTCGCTTCTCGACGTGGTTCCTTTCATTTCGACTGTGTGTCTCCTGCTGCTACCATGGGTAGCGTCGCTTTTCGTTTTCAAGTCCCCCCGGGAATTCCAATTAGCTGCCCTTTTTCCTGTTTACATATGGGAGGGAAAACATACATACACATATATATATATGTATGCATACATTTATGCGACGGAACGGCACAAATGACAAACGAGGACAAGGTGTATTTTTTTTCCTCGTCGATGGGCCTGTCCGTGGTGCGTCCTCAGGACACAACAAGCGATGCTGTTGTTTTATAAGTGTTGCGTGTGGCTGTCTTTTCGCACAGCAGTCTTTTCGTGTTTTCTCCCTTCACTCTACTATTCTCTCAATTGGTACACACTCAATCCCTAAGTTGTAATTCTCAAAGCGAGTGATGTGGTTTTTGTTTTAGTCACCTATGCAGTCCAATGGATTTACTCCGTGAGATGTGTCATGGACATCATGGTATTCATTATCCACCATATTCTTTTTTTTTTTTTTTCTGTTTCCCCCTTGTTGTTACTATATTAACATCACTTAATGAGAAGATGGAGAAAACAATTAAAAATGGGGGGCGTGGAAAAACACATGGTTTTTAAAAACCATTACACTTAAAAAAAAAAACAAAAC